GTACGATACCCTCTAAGCACAACACTTCTTCTTCAGTTGGAGGGTGTTAGACATCTGAAAACAACGATTACAATCGAAATGATCATTTACCTGCGTACAACCAACAGAGTAGTTGGAGATCAAGTTTAGGGTTTCATCCTCCCAGTACATTCTCTCATAGAAAGTTACCAGCCTAAGAATCGAATTATTAATAAGCTAATCTTCTTTTAGTCACCTGTTGATCCTGCAATGTCCGTGTATCGCAACTAAACCGTTCTTATCAGCTAGCTGAGGTTGAACTGACCCGGCCAATCAAAACAAAAAACAAGATCCCAGTTCGTTCAAACTTGTAATGAGCTAAATACAAACAAATAAACTGTATTCCTAAACTCTCGATATAGTCTCCGTGAGTTTTAAAGTGCTTTCTTACTTCAAAGCACAGCATGCAGCCATGAGCTTGAGCACAGCCGCTTACTATCATTGATGGGAGGAATGAAACTTGTATCAAGTTCGTTCTTGACTTTCTATTAAAGTGAGCAGTGTGTTGGACTCTGCAATTGACTGAATGTCATACCTCTGCTGCAAATGATCGAAATAGGATAAACCTTTAAGCTGATCCCTAGAGGAAGATAAACATGAATATGAGAAGAGTGATCAAAACTCACTGGTAGTTTCTATCCAAATCATTCTGCACCCAATCTGCCTGTTAGGGAAGCACATCCAGCGTCCAATTTCAACACCAACAACTCAAAAGAACACTTTGAGGGCCTCAGATGTGGCTAGACAGCATGATTACTTCATGGCTATATCTGAACAGAAATAGAATACGTAAGATAAGGCAGATGAACAGCCCAAATATTTCCGTTTAAGATGAAAGGCGGGTCTACGTGTGTAGAAGAACAAGGTATGACTTGTAAAATCGAAGTAACGAGTATATACGACAAGAACGATAGATTTAAAACAGTTTATTGAAATCAAAAATTTATTAAACAACAACCTGCAATCTCTTCTGCGGCCAGGTTGAAACGGACGGCACTGTCGGTAAAACTGGGACCCTCAGGCATCGGTAGCACTGGGAGGGATGGGAAAGGGGTATCCTTGTCCTCCACCGCACAGTAGCAGATTACTCTCCCTCCTGTAACCTGGAACGACACAATTAACATCTGCTCAACCTATCAGTTCTTACCTGCTACTCTTTCACTTGACAGGATAGGTTCAGGACAAGGAATCAGTAAACAACCTTTGAGAAACTGAACGAAAGATTATGTAAAGTAAGATCTCTCAGATTTAAAACGCAACTAGAGCACTCTTCACACTGGGGGCACTACTCAATCCATCTTTACGAAGTATGAAAAAATGCTTATAAGAACAAACCTGAATTTTTCAAAATGCACCTCTTCGTCACTATGAAACTCTGAACGCAGCAAATTTTCTTCAGATGGTGAGTGGCAGCAATCTGATGGAAAGGTTACTGACGATATCATCACCTACCTGTCTAGACACAACAGAACAGTTTGAGAAACTATCTTCACAACTTCGAAACGTTCTCTCATTGAAGGTTATGAAATCAATATGAGGAGTTAATCAACAATGAGCTCAATTTGAAAAACGTCTGCGTGGCACCTTTCTTGCTGTTTTATTCCGGAACAGTTCTTAGACCAAAGCTTACAGAAGATGGGCTATTGAGCAGAGCTGCCTATAATCATCTGAGCTGCGAATGAATCACTTACCTTGTTCATTTTTGACTTCCCTTTCGAGTGAACGGACTATTCAATATTTAATTTTCTTTTAACTAATCCCTGGAATTAGACAAACATGAATATTAAGAGAGACTTACCACGACGATCCTACCCGTAGGAACACATTTGAACTAGCATACTCTCTTTGCGTAGTAGTTCCACAGCAGAATGTTCATGTAGGAACTGGCTGACACGGGTTGGATGTACCATATCTGACAACTTAAACTCAAAGCAAA